GATTGCCTAATATTGCTTATTTGGATAAATTTTAAAACAATTTGTGGGGTTTGTTGTAGAAATCAAATTGATACCATTGGTGTTGTAGAAGTTTACTGTAAATTTTGAGTAATGGTAGGATGCTAGGTCAAGCAAAAAGGTTACATTACCATTTTGGACATTCTATAGTGTCAAAATTAATTCTTTCGATAAATTTCACTATTTATTGTAGAAATAGTGAAATTTATCGAAAACAGTTTATCGGTGACAAAAACACTGAAATATTGCTTGCCATAATTTTTTTTTTGAAATTTCTTCAGTTTTGTAATCTTAAACTAAGTTTTTATCTTTTCCTGCATTTGCGTATAATTTTTCTGCATGATTTCTTAGCACTAAATTTTCTTGAACATTGAGACTTAAGGCTTTGTACATTTTAAAGGACTTGATTTTATAGTTTTTCTTTATAGTTGATTTCTTTTGACTGGTAGTTTTGCATTTTAGGTACATATCTTACTGAGAATTATTTGGATTTACTGTGACAGTCAAAGCAATAGTCTTTAGTTTTTTATTTTCAAGATGTTGCTGTTTGCTACTTATTTTATTAAGTGTTATACTTCTTTAAGGCTTCTTAGTTACTTCATTAAGCTTCTAATCATAGTACTTTTAAGTTTTAACTTTAAGGTAATAATGTCATACAGTTCATAATGTCCAACAGTTTTTACTGTTGGTTTTAGAGACAAATTACAATTTTTCACTCAAGCCTGCAAAATTGCATCACACTTGTTGCTGTTTTTGTTGTCATTTTAAATACTATTAATTTTTTACCTATAAAAGATGTTTAAATTGAATTACTAGTACTTACTTAAATTATCATTTTATAAAATAATTTTTTGAAAGCAACCATTTGAAAAATTAGTTTTTAGACAAATAGCTTATTAGTTCAATTTTAATTCGGGCTGGTTCAATTAAAAGTGGATTTATTGAATCAATCTGAAGCGTTTTGACATAAAAATCTTTTGGTATAAATCAGTGGTTCCCAATTTGTGGGTTGTAACCTAATGGGGGTTGTCTGACAATTTATCAGGGCTAGGCACCAAGCAAGCGCAGCCTTCTCACAGACCTTTTTTGAGTTTTTCAACTCTAGCATTTTCTTTATTATTATCGATCTTAACAATATTTTTGCTTTCTTCAACTTTATTTTATTTTCAAATTTTATAAACTAAAGCCTCAACTTTAAAGTTAATGGCTTCAATTGTGTGTGACTCTTAATTGTATAATGCACATTGCACAATGCACACTTAAAATGTTGTAAAGTTTACAATATTTTAAGTGAGCATTGTGCAATCTACATTATACGATTAAGAGTCATACATAATCAAAGCTTTAAGGTTGAGGCTTTATAAAATGTCTACAATCCAAATATTTTATTCCTTTGAAAATTTTAACCAAAACATATTACTAATTGTTTTGTTAATAAATTATTATGAATCAATTATAAAAAAATTTGCAACAAAAAAATATGGTGCTTATGAAATATAAATAAAATCAGATATTTAAAAGTAATATATAGCATAATAGTTAGCTGCAAAAATACTGTGGTTTAGGAGCAACCTTATTAATCTATTTAACCTTATTAATTTATTGTTGGGGTCGCCAAAACTTAGCAAATGTTATCAAAGGTGTGTGGCATGAAAGATGTTGAGAATCGCTAGTATAAATGCTGTTGTGAGGTGCTGGAAGCACTTCTTCCTCACAACAGCTGTTGTGAGGTGCTGGAAGCACTTCTTCCTCACAACAGCTGTTGTGAGGTGCTGGAAGCACTTCTTCCTCACAACAGCTGTTGTGAGGTGCTGGAAGCACTTCTTCCTCACAACAGCTGTTGTGAGGTGCTGGAAGCACTTCTTCCTCACAACAGCTGTTGTGAGGAATAATCATAACAGTTTTTAATTTAGTAAAAATCTTTTTTACTTTAACTGGAAAATTATCCTTGGAAAGTTGCCATATAAAATAGATAAATATTTAAGTTCACCATGAAAACAATAGCTGAATTTCGGTTCTGGCTTTAAGATTTTTCCTTGCTAAAATCACTTGTAAAATGTGTAAAAAAATGTGAAAATAGAAAAATTACTAAAAATTAGACTTTTACTTTGGTGTTTCCTATAATTTTTGCACACCCCATTAAAATCATAACTATTAAATAATTTTTTTCTTTGGAATTTTCAAATCTTAAATGAAATTTTTAAACCTTGCTTTTTGTTTCTTTTGTTTAATGAATTTTAAGTACTCTTAAGCCAATTTGTGGATTAACTGTTTTAGACATAATCTTATAATTTTAGTTCATACCATTCCATAGCCAAATAATGACGCCAAACCAGGCCCAAACTCAGGTCCATTATCATTTGATTTACTCAGAGATAAAAATGGTTTTGTTAGCTTTTTTAGCATATATTTGACCTTTAGCTGTGGATTTAGAAATATAAGGTTCTAAATTCTGGCCAAAAATAGCCTGTTAAGTTTAGGTTTTTTTTATTTTGTTTAAGTTTGGTTTTCTTTTATATTTTGCAATATAGTAGGCATTCCCTCGAATTTGTTAATGATTGAATCTGATGTATGTTTGTTAATGGTTGTATCTGATTTTTTATTTCAATAATGCAGAAATTTTTAGAAATAAAATTGCCATACAACTTTCTAGAGTTCTTGTATTTTTTTAAGTTTTAGAATGATTTGGCACCTTTTATGATTTAAAAGAATCAAGAATTAATTTGAACATTTACATAAAAAAAGCTTTAGGGTTAAAAAAAAAAAGCTATTGGACACTATTCCATAAATGCTTCTTATTTTAACATGTCAAAAGAACTTTTTCTTTTTACTTTACATAATGTATGAAAAATTGACATTTAACTTTTGTTTACACATATGTACATCAGTTTTCATATATATAGATAATGTTAAATTTTCTAATACCTGTGGTGTTGTTTATTGTCTTTATTTTAACACAGACATTTTTATAGTGGCATAGTTTTGCAGTTATATCGTTGGTCAAAGTTAACCCTCAAGCAATTTAATTTTGAATCCATATAAAAGTTTCAACTTTTAAAGCTATCAAAATAAATAAAGTTAGCAATATAAAAATATCAAAGTGAATAAAGTTAGCAATATAAAAATATCAAAGTAAATAAAGTATAGCAATATAAAAATATCAAAGTAAAAAGTTAGCAAGATAAATTAAATCAATATAGTTATTAATATTTTCAAATAATTTTTTTTTATTGTTTATCAAATACCTTCAATTTTTTTTGTTGTTTATCAAAATTGATTGATAATTAAAACATCATTTAGATAGAAGAAAATAAATACTAGTGATAAATAACCTTGATAAAATTAGAACTATGTTTTCATTGTTTAAATAAAAATAAAAAATGTTCAATAATGTGACCTACATCTTTTTTTATGTAATAGAATACTGTTAAAATCTTAATTTTAATTAGCACTAATCTCCTCCCAATAAGAAAACAGAAATGGATGTGGCACCAATATAATACTCTATAAAAAGTATAATACTCATATAAAAATCATACAATTGATAAATGAAAATTTTAGTACTTTCTTTTTATTTTTATATTTTTCTTAGCTTGCTATTTTGTCGGTTTATTTATTTATGGCCTTATATACGCAAAATAAAGCATCAGTTTGTCAATTAAAGCGTGTAAAAGATATTGTTTGCAGGAATTTTAAATATTATTGAAAAAAGGAATTACGTAATGGAGTTAAATATTTCAGATTGAACTTATAGAAAAGTTGTACTTCAATATTATTAAATTGTTTCAGTTGTTTAAAAGAGAAACAGGGAAATTGTTTTAAAAAGATTTCTTAAAAGAGAAACAGGGAAATTGTTTTAAAAATATGAATATCTTAATTTTTAAATTTTTTAGCCATCTAACCTCAGAGAAAAGTATGTGATTTTGAAAAAGCAAAATTTGCATTTGCAAGAGGTAAGAAATAATATTTTGGTATATTAAAAAGGATTTATTTGCTGGTAAGAATTATTTTTTTATTTTCAAAATGTTGCACCTGCAGGTTGTGAAAAATAGTTTTTAAAATGTTGTAAAAAGTAAATTTTGATATTTTAAAAAAACATCTAGCACATGCAGGAAGCAAAAAATAAAATTTAATATGCTTACAACTTTGATCTACATGTGGTTATTATGGTATTTTGAAAAAAAAATGCATCTTAAAGGGGGTGGGAGGGGGATAGGGCATAAAAATGAGGTAATCTTGTCAATTTTTTTAAAATGCAATAACATAAATACAAAATTCAAAACAAAACAGTTTAAGCAAAAAAGACTTGTAGTTATTAGATTAGTTTTCTTATTTACACAAAATCATGTATAAAAATTATTTTTTAGCAAAAAATTAAAAAAAGCCATTTTTTCATGGTTTTTGATCAAAATTTTTTTTCAAGGTATTTTTAACAAAAAATCACAATTTTTTTTTTAAAATTTTTATAAAGTTTCGCTTCTTTTGAGACTCAACATGACATACATTTGAAAAACTTTTTTTTCTTCTGTTTAGGGTCTCGTCGCAAGTTTCAGATTTGAGGTGGCCCCCCTAAATCTCATTCAATTTTGAAAAAATTTAACAGAGTGTCTTGTGAGTACCAATAGAAAGGTTTAAGAATAGGGACAGATCAATTTTTGAAAGTATGGGGCGTTAGATGCACCCTAACATATGCGCAACAGATTTCTTCCATTTTTTGATGTTTTAAGAATTTTTAAGCTTTTTTAAAAATTCTCTTCCTTTCGTTTGTTATAGTATATAATGTATTTATATATGTTATGAATATAATGTTTATAAAACTTTTAGAAAAATCAAAAAAGATTTTTAAAAAAAAAGACGCCAGTGGTAGGATTTGAACCAAGGTGCCTTGCTTCAAAAACTCAGCAAGTTAACCACTTCGGCCACATAGGCGTGTTGTCTGATGAAAATTTTAAAACTATTCAATAAACAAAAGGCTTTATAAAATGGCAAATGGCAAAGTTTTTTTACAAATTCTGTCTTTTTCATTTGTTATTGTGTATAATATCTTTATATATGTTATGTATATAATATCTATAAAACTTCCAAAGTGTTTTATTATGTATTTTAGAAAAATTAAAAAAGATTCATATAATAATTAAATTTGAAAAAATGAAAACAAAATGAATAAGCAAACCTAGTCAATTGCATAAAACCAAAGCCTAGTTTTTAAAACCCTCAAAAAAATTTATTGGTATGAATTTATTGAAATAAAAAAACTCTTGGCAACAGATACAAAATGACTCCATTCAACTCATAAAACATTTAAAAACCTAAAAATTAATGTAGAATGAGTTTAGATGTGGTAAACAAATCTAAGTAAAAAACGAAACAAAAAACAAAAAGCTGTTATAGTTTACTAGTCTCCTAGTCTAGTTACTAGTCTCCTGTGTCAAATAAAAGTAATTAGAATTTTTTCAAATGTCAACACTGAGAGACATTTTTTTTATTCAGTCTTTTTAGATTACATTATTTTTTTAAATAAATCATTTTAGTTTACATAACAAATAATTAAAAAAAAAAAAAAAAAAAAACGAAACCAATCAGTTATACAAAAATTTATGGTTTGTATAATGTAAACTTTGAGTAAAAATAAGGCATTTGTTATTTTATAGCAAGTAAGTTGATATCAAAACTGAGAAAAAAAGAAAAAAGATTGCTTTCAATTGATTAAAGTTTACGTTTATAACAGTATCTATACTATCAGTATCAATAGTATCTAAAAAGTCAATATTTGTAGCTGCTTAAGCACCAATTAATTAATAAACATGCAGCTCATCTTCAGTAAAAGATATACTATTTGCAGCTGTAGAAAAAAAACACTTGTCAATTCTATTCTTGATCGCATTATTCTAATCATTGACAATATGATTTGTGTAGAAATTAGCGAGCGTTATTAAATATGAATTCATGCATTAGGATGTTGGATGGTGATCTGATAAGTGGTGGGTTATGCCAGTTGATAATCTCAAAACCGTTTTCTAGTCTAAACTGTTGAATCAAATTGCCATGTCACCTGTGAGTTTCCAAACTAGTAAAATTGAGACACTGACACCTTTCAGCATTAGGTAATCCTATTAAATCATGAGGTACTTTTGTTGCTTTGTGCTGATTTTTTTCGATTTCATTGATGTCACCTTTCAAGTAAAGACACCATAACAGAACAGCGAATTCTAGATGTGGCCTAATGAACAAAGTGTATAGTCCAAAGCTTCATATCTCTTGATCTAAATATTTTTTTTAAAAGGCCCAATCTCATATTCGCTTTACATGTTGTAACCTGTATGTGTTGATTCCATTTTAGATCATTAGATATAAAGATACCCAGGTCTCTCCCAATACAGTTGCCTCAAGTTATGCATTTCCATCATTCATTACATATTCATAATTACTATTTCCATAACCAAGGAGCATAACTTTACATTTTGCAACATTCAATTCCATTAGCCATTCCTTTGACCATTCTGTGACAATGTTTAAATTGTTTTGAAGAATCAGACAATCAGCATTGTGAAACTCAGATCTTATTTCTTGTAACAGTTTAGTGTCGTCAGCATAGATTTTATGAACTGATTTTATCTGATCTGTTAAGTCATTTATATAGATGAGGAATAATGTTGGACCAAGTACAGAATCTTGTGGAACTCCGCTTATAACATTGGTCCAGTCACTAGAGTGTTCACCTAAAACAGTTCGCCGTTTTCTACTAATCAAAAATGACTCATTGATCCCATATGCTTTCAATTTATGAAGTAGTCTACAGTGAAAAATTTTATCAAACACTTTTGCAAAGTCGAAAAATGCAATATCAACAAAATTTCTTTTACTTTACTCTTAGCGAGTGCCAAATAAGTGTGGGGACACATCTGAGGTACTGCAGAGGTGTAAAAGAAATGGTTAAAAGGGAGTTTGCATTTACAATTATATGATAAAATTACATAATTTTTGTAAACTGATGCAAATGGTGATTTTCAAAAGATGATTTGCATATCTAATTTAAATGGTGTATGTCAAAATTTACCTTTTTGTTATTCGTGACCACTGGACTTACAGTTTTGGTTGACAGACAATATTGTTAGAAAAACACTAATTATTCAAAGGGCAAAATGTTTTATGTACTCAGTTAGATTGCTTTGTTTTTTATTGGTTTTTATTATGCAAAATTTTCTAATAGTGCGAATTTATGATAGACTTTAGGTTAGGCATGCAACTGTAGCTAATCTTAATAGAATTTCAATTGAATATTTTATATAAAAATGTAAGTCATTTAGTGCTAAAAAACAGTTTACTTTTTTTGTTTTGACATTCAAGCTGTACGGAGGGTTGTACCAAAAGGTATTATGCATACAATGTTTTTTTTGTTGATTTTGATCTGGGATTAATTGTAGTTGGTAGGTAAACTTTGTGTTCTACCTCAATTTTTTTAAAGCTTCTTGATACGGTGGAGTAACCTTTTTAAAAACAGTTTCATTATTTGACATGAAAGATAAACTTTGTTCAATATTGCAAGGGATTGCTTTTATTATGCTTGGAGGGTGGTTAACGTTAGAGTGGATATACCTTAATTGATTATCCGGTTTACAATATGGTTGGAATGCATTGTTGTTTAGATTTAATGTAATATCGAAATAATTATCAATTTTTTTATTAGATTAAATGGTGATTGATAGATCATTGTTTTTTTTATATATTATATGCTTTTTGATCTTATTCATTTCTTTTCATATCTGATGGTTTTTGTTCTTATGTACGGCAAGACTATCATTACAATATAGTCCAAAATCTTCTTTGTTACAATGCTATGAAATTTGAAGTTGTCAGTTGAAAATATCAATTAACTAGTAAACTTTAGCACCATCAAATGCCCCCATTGTGATCCAACAATCTGCCTCTTTTTCTTGCTTATCAATGCTTTGTCTTTGATTTGATAACGATATGATGATCAGCAAAGTTTATAGCATAGTTGAGGGTGATTTCATTTACAGAAGGGTAAAAATTATTAACATCAAAAATTAAAAATTTATATAAATGACTATTGCTGATTTTTCTAAACCAGTCTACAACATTTTGCGTACTTTGCCATTGATTCAAAAAAAGTTTATTTTTAAGTTCGCAATTGATTTTTGATAAAATTACTTTAGTAATTTGTCATACCTCATTTTTTGAAGGGTTCAGAAGGTGCACATGTGGGTTGTTAACAAAGTTTTCCTTGTGGTCTTTCAAAGTGAAAAAACTGTTAGAGGATTTGTTTATTTCAAATTTTTTATATACCTCATAGTTGGTTAAAATTTGTTTTCCTTCTATGCTTATATGGTCTTTTAATTTTGGATTTGCTTTTTTGTAGGTGATGGTAATAGCATTTGTTAGCAGATTATTGTGATCTTTGTTGGACTCCTCATTGTTTTGTCCGCATGTGTTTGGGTTTTTGTCAGCATATGTTAGGGTTTTGTAAGAAAAAGACATTAAAGCAATACACAGTGTACGGCTGTTAAAACCATTTTGAAAAGTGTTGCTTACATCTTTAAACTTTATTTAAAAATATTTTTTTGAAAATTTCTTTTATTTGCGGTGGATATATAGAAGATTTAAATTGCGTAATTTGTATAACTGAGATTGTCTTTATTTCTTGTATCATTATTAATAGAAAAGAACACTTTCCATCTTAAATAGTAATTCTGTTTTGTTTATCAATTTTAATTTTAATTTTTTAAATGCTTTAATTTGATAATTTTTTTTTATCTTGCTTTTTGCACTATTAAATAATTTAATCAACATTAAAGTATTTTGATTAAAATACTTGATAGAAATTATAAAAACAATAAAAATACTAAATTTGAGATGCAAGTTAGTATTGTGAGACATTGAAAGATCTGATGAAATTTTCCCTAGAAGTAATGAATTGATTAAATAATGAAGACATTGAATTTGATAGATATGTGGTATTGTCAATTATGAAAAAAAATATATATATATCTACATATATACATATTTATGTACATATATACATATTTATGTACATATATACATATATATGTACATATATACATATATATGTACATATATACATATATATGCACATAGATATATGAATCAACAGAGTTGATTTCCAAATGTCGTCATGAAAATAAATTTAACCACAAACCTGAAGATTAGATACACGCTTGAACAGTTTTTCTGTATAGTTTTTTCTGTATAGTTTTTTCTGTATAGTTTTACCTAATTAGTTCCAATTGTATAAAAAAATTTTAATGAAAAAATTATATTTGTATTTCACCTGATGATTGCAATAGCATGAAACTTATGGTAGTTGGTTGTTAGATCTCATTTTTGCTAATTTTGAGGATATATATATATATATATATATATATATATATATATATATATATATATATATATTTCTTTTTGCACTATTAGATAATTTAATAAACATAAAATTACTTTGAAATTCAAATACTTTGACAAATTAATTGATAATTAATTAAAATGCTTTGATAAAAATCATAAAAAATGGACTGTCGATGTAGACAGACATTTATAAGTTTTAAATCTTTGGTTTCAAAAGAAGATTGTTTGTCTAGAGAATTTATTCAGCGTATAAAACAGTGTGTTTTATTGACTGCAAAACATGTAATGTTAAGGTGTGGGGCTGTTTTGGCTGAAATACCACAGTTGACATTGTAAAATAGAAGAAATAATGACAAAATTAGTTTATTTGGGGATTTTTAAAAAGTCGTGCTATACCTTTAGAAAGTTGGGTTAATGGGAAGCCATTTATTTTTTTAGAAAACGACTCAAAGCCTAAATTTAAAACATAACCTAAAAAACATTGTATATTTTATTTGAGTAATTTAGAGAATAATCAAATATTGAATAAAATGTTTGAGCCTCACCAATTACCAGATCTCACTCCAATAGGACTTTTATGGAATAAATTCAAAGTAATGTCAAAAACTAATGCCTAATGATGCAAAAGATGTGGAAAAAACTTATTAGTGAGTGACATAAAATTGACTCTGACAAATTGGATAAGTTATTAAATAGAATGCCAAGAATAGCAATTATTGTTGCTAAGGGTGATTAAATAGGCAAGGAAACTAGAAGCTAATCTTATGAGACTTAATATTAATTTTTATGTAAATTAACTTAATAAATAGGAAAATTACATATAATTCAGGTAGATTTTGCTTTCAGTTTTTTTTCCAAATGTAAGTAAAACTTTGATATCTTATATTGAAAAGTATGACCATTCAAATAATTATATATTTTATTAAATTTAAGACATTAAGTTAAATAATTAAGGTAAAAACTACACTCAAATCTCTTTTTGAGATTTTATTTTACAAGTGTTAAGTTAATATATACTAATATATTCAATCAGCATTTTCCAATCTCATTTTTTTATTTAAATGAGGCAAGAAGAAAAATTCCCATTACATTCAGATTTTAAATCAAGAAGTTGCTCTGTATTGTTGAAAATAAATTAAACATCTTAGTGCTACACAAACAAAAAGTTGCTAAAACTGATGGTATCAAACAAACATTAGGCAAATACAATTGAATGTTTTGCTAATGTGATATTCAAAGCTTTTAATATCTACAGTTATAAAATAATGCTTTATTTTGCTTGTCCAATAGGATAATTAAGTTCTTAATATAATTTGATGATAAAAACATGTAATAATTAAGTTCTCAAGATAATTTAGTAAAGCGTGTACACAAAATAAATGTGAAAAAGTAAATACGTAATTTTTTTTCAGTGGTTGTATTAATATATTTTTAATTGTGTTTGTATTTTGTTGACTACATGTAATGATTTTAAAAAATGATTTTAGTTTTCCCATTTAACATAAAGTATGTTTTAAAAATGACAAAAGAAGAAGGCGTTAAAAAAAATATTTTGCACAAATTTTATGGAAAATCTGAACTTAGCTACAATTCAGCAGCAAAAAAATACATTTCTACATTCTTAGCCATGTTGTTTAACATTTTTCCTAAACAAATCAATCAAATGCAAATAATGGAGGAAAGGAGGTTAAAACTAGTTAGAAAACTGGTTCACAGTTTTTCTGCATCATTAGTCATGTTGTTGAACGTTTTTTTCTAAACAAAATTAATCAAATGCAACTTTGGTAATGATGGAAAGGAGGCTTTTAAGATATAAAACTAGTTAAAAAACAGATTTTATGAATAATCCAAGCCTCTCACTAAGGGAACGCACAAAATATGAGGATTTTCTCATGCTTTGTCATGAGAAAATCCTCATATTTTGTGCACCTATATTTTTCAGCACCTATATTTTTAAGTCTACGCTTTTGGTAAAATGTTAAAGTGTGTTAACAAAAACGTCTGCTCTGACATGTGCTCTGACCTGATTTATCATCAAGTTATTAAAACTGGCTATGGGATGGTATATAAAAATAAAAATGACCTGAAAGTTGTCTAAAATACCAAATCCTCTAAACTGCCCAGTATTAAAAATTATTGCAAATTACTGGGTAATTATTAGACCAAAAAATAAAAAAAATAAAAAATAAAAAAAGTTTAACGGGGTATAATATATAATATAAACTGGATAATTATTTGACAAAAAATAATTAAAAAAAACAAAAAACTATGCAGAAACAATAAAGATTTGAAAATGTTATTTAAAAAACATCAAATAGTTTTGATTGTTGTTCTGTGCGCAAGCCTATGTGTACGACCAAAATAAAAGTTGGAAATTTTATTAGACACTCACAGGAATGAATTAATTTCTTTGAAGTTTTTTATCTTATTATATTAATTTATTAAAATTAATACTTAGTTCCCAATAAAAGTCAATGTGTACTTTTTTTTAGTTTTTTTTCTACTTTCACATTTATTTCGTGTACACACTTTAATAAAATATATGCGAAAATTAAGTTTTTTAGGTAGTTAACTGATTGGTCATGCAATGAGTGAACTTTTTTTTTATTTGCGTCTTTGTTAGTACGAATTTTAAACCACTGGTTATTTTTTTTCATTAACAATTTTTCAGCTTTTTCAATCCATTAATACAAAATAATAAGAGTATTTTAGTACAAAATAAAAACTTAAAATAAAATAATTGCTTCTAAGCAAGAGCTCCTAAGTAGTATAATACAATATAGAAATTATTGTGGTAAATAACCAGTTAAAATTTGATATTATATAATACACTGAAAAAGAGCCAAAAAAAATTTTTTTTTTCTTGCTATAGCATCATGACATGGTCAACTTGCTCTTTTTATATTTGACTGATACTATTTTATTAATGAACATCCCTTAACTTTCAGTTCATTTTGAGAGAAAGTTTAAAATTGATAGAAACAATTAAAGTATTTATTCTTACTTCATTATGTTTAGTAAGAAAAATTATTTTATGAAAAATGTTTGCAAAAGATATAATTCAACTTTTTGCATTGTAAAAGAAATTGATTTCTGGTGTTCATATTTATGTCTGGTGTTCATATTAATTTTATCATATATCACGATTCATTATACCAATCAATTTTAAAAGAAATATTAAAAAAAGTCTATTTAAAGGCACCATATTATGTATATATTTTTTTGTTAAAAATTAATATTTTAGGATTTGGAAATTATTATTTTAGGATTTGGAAATTAAGCAACAAACATTGGATAATCTCAATTCTCAAATTGATAATCTTGAAGAGGTATTTTGATTATTATAATTTTTTAAAATATATTTTCTAAAGTTCATAAAATATTATTTAATAGTTATAAATTTTATTATTTAGAAATTTTAATAAATTTCTTTAATTTCTGTTGATTTAAAATATTATAAGTTTTCTATTGAATATTTCCTTATTTTACTTTTTTTTGTTGTTGCATTGTTTAAATTTTATTCTAATAAAGCCCCATATTTTGAAAAACTTCAATCAAATAAACCAAATCATTAAAATATAATACAATTTTATAATATATAACAGTGCATTTTATCTACATTTTTAAAGTCATGAGTACAAACTACATAGAGTTTATCATTTTAAAATTTAATATTAAATAAAGTCAACTTTGCAAATAAATTGATTTTTGTGACAGTAACTTTCATAAATGCTAAGCTCAAAATTACGTTAAAAATTTAGTTCAGTTTTAAAAAACTACTGCATTTATGTATACTTTTTTTTTTCTTGACTAGTTTATCTTTTTCTAATGATTTCTTTTGAAAATTGTGTGTTTAGTTGATTATAAAAGTAACACCAGCTGAAGTTGTTTTCTTTTTTTTTGATATAGGATATATCTCAATCTAATGTGAAACAGGAAGCAGGTAATATTTTTTTTCAATAATTTATTCAATTTAGTAGTAGATAATCAATTTCAATTTAGTAGTAGATAATAAAGTATAGACATCTTAGTAAAATAGCAACCTATGTTTCTTGTTCTGAAGATGACCTTTGTGTTTTATCTATGTGGTTTTTGTGAAGATGAATTTTTTGGTTTTGTTTATCTGTGTGGTGTTGTAAAAATTTAAAGCCCAAAATCCAAACATAATATTGTTTTTTTCCTAATATTTCTTAGTTTGTTCATTTATTTATTATTTCTCAGTCTATATTATCATTATTCTGTTTCATTTAAATGAATATATTTTTATACTTGTTTTTCTTAAATTTTAATTTTTCAATAATTCTTACTTTTCAGTGACATTGTATGAAAAAATATTTGAACTAGAAGAGAAGAAAAATATGCTTCTTGAAGAAGAAAAGTCAACTGAAACACCTGCTCAAGAGAGAGAGAGGTTGTTGAAGCAGGTAATTTAAGCACAAATATGTTTTTTAAACTTTTTTTTACCATGTCATTAATAAATTTATATATCAAAAAGACTTTGTTTTAAAACCTTTACAAACAAAAAGACTTTGTTTTAAAACCTTTACAAACAAAAAGACTTTGTTTTAAAACCTTTACAAACAAAAAGACTTTATTTTAAAACCTTTACAAACAAAATACTTTGTTTTAAAACCTTTACAAACAAAAAGACTTTGTTTTAAAACTTTTACAAACAAAAAGACTTTGTTTTAAAAACTTTACAAACAAAAAGACTTTGTTTTACAAACAGGTAGTATCATTAAAAGCATTTAGTATTGTTAAAAATTGTTTTTAATTGTACTTAGTTTTTTATTAAATTTAAGTATTGAAAATTTTTTAAAAATTTCTTTTTATTGCATAGTTTTAATTAGTATAGCATTTAAATACTTTTTTTCAATACTACTAAGTTAAACAAAAAATATATATTGAAATTACAAAGTAGAAAGTTGTGCATATTTAATAATGTCTCTATATTTCAATTTAGGTTGTCCTTTATACCTACATCATTTTAGTTTAAGTTTTTATTTCAATTTAATATGTCCTTTATACCTACATAATTTTTAGTAATATTTTTAGTTTTTATTGCAATTTAAGTTGTCCTTTATACCTACATCATTTTAGTAATATTTTTAGTTTTTATTGCTGGAAATTTTGAAGCTGAAAATGAGCTATTAAGTCAAAATACAACAAACAGTGATCTATTAAAAGTTAAAAAAAAACTTGTTTATGATTTTCAAAAAATCATTAACAAGTTTTTTTTTAATTTATAATAGATCAGATAAATTTAACTGTTTAAATTAACTGTTAAAATTTAAGTTGCTTTATTTCTTCTAAAGCCAGCCATTATGACAGTCAAAATAAACCATTAAAATTTATTTTGTTTACAAAAAACACATAATATAAATGCATTTATAACACAAATAATGTTTATGCTGTTGTTTGTTTAAATTAAAATTCACTTTGGCCGATTTTAGTTTTTCAACATTTTTGTGTCTTATAATTATAAATTTGTGATAAACTTGTTGTTCATCACACTGTTCTTATAAACTTGTGATGTACAACTTCACCACACTGTTCTGCATAACTATGAGGAACAGTATGTTTGAAATGTACATGACAAGTTTAAAAAAAATCAACAGAAACACCTGCTCAAGAGAGAAAAATGGTTGTTGCTGGTAATTTGTAAAACAAAAAAGACATTTTTTTATAACATATATCCACAACTCATAATGTGGAGCTCAGGTGGATGAACAATGGGTTCAAGAAAAGTTTCTTGAACCCTTAGTTCATGAAACAAAAATAATTTCAGCTTTTAAAGTTAAATAAGAATTTATAATACAACACAGAATGTTCTTGTATTTTTCTTTGTTCATGTTTTTAATAATTAAAGAACTTTACTCAATCATATACAATGTATATAATAATTATATATATATATATATATATATATATATATATATATATATATATATATATATATATATATACATATATAATAATTATATATAATAATTATATATATATATATATATTTATATATATATATATATATATATATATATATATACATATATATATAAATATATGTAGTAATTATAAATATATACATATATATATATGTAGTAAGTATAAATATTTTTAACAGTGTTTCATCATTAAGGACTTAATAAATTTTTTCCCTTAATTTTCTGAATATTTTCTCAATTTTTATATAGTGTAAAAAATTCTTTATATGTAATTAAAAAGAAAGTTAAAAAAGCAATAATAATTATTGAATTTAAGGTTAAACCTTCCACTCTTATCCCAGTTTACTCTATATATCATGTATTTGTTAAACTACTTTACCCAAGTTTACTCTATATGACATATATTTACTTTACCCCAGTTTAGTTTATATAACATGTATTTATTAAATTTCATTTTTTGAAGGTAAAAGATGATAACCAGGAGATTGCAAGAATGGAGAGTCGGTATGAATTTTTTTATTCATATTTTACATTTTTTGTTTTTTAAAAAATTTCTTTAAATATTTTTAATATACAATATTTTATTAATTTAAATGTCCCTTGTTTTTAAAGTGCTCGTGAGATTCGTGAAAAAACTGAAAAACTTCAAGATGAAATATCTCAACTAGATGTAGAACTTGAGGAGCATCATGGTAATAATGCATAATAGAGGGTGCAACATTAAACACTATATGAGTTTACCTTTTTTATTGTTTTAAATCATCCTAAAAAACATAAGTTTATATGAACATGACAGACTTTTTAAGGACTGATTAGTTATGCCTCAAAGATTAATAGTCAAAATTCAGATTTAAAATTTTTTTATTTTACATATTTTTAGAAGTTAAAAATGTACCACATGAAACCACAGCTATGACACCCCTCTTCTCTTTTAAAAAAGCAAAATTTTTCTTTGATTTTCTTGAATTTGCTTTTAATTAAATAGAGTTTTAATAATGATTACATATATTTCTTGTTAGGTGAACGAACAGCAAAGTATAAAGAACTGAAAAAGCGAGATGAAGACATGCAAGGTTATATTTTTTCATTATATTTATTTATTTTAAATATATTTATTATTGTATTAGAAAAAAGATTTTTATTATATTTAGAAAATCTAAATTTAATTTTGTAAATTTTTAAATTATTTTATTTATAGAGTTTTTGGATAAGTTTGATGAAAATAAGAATGCTGCAGAGGTTTATAGAATTTATATTATATATATATATATATATATATATATATATATATATATATATATATATATATATATATATATATATATATATATATATATATATATATATATATATATATATATATATATATATATATATATACAATCTAAAATCAATTTTTAGCAAAACTATAAAAATATAGAAGAAAATGTTGTTCAATTGTTGGAAAAGATTAGTAGAGTATGTTGAATATTTTTATTTTATTTATTTAATAATAGAATTAAAAAGAAAATTAAAAATGCAGTTCACAGCATTAGTACCAAAGGAAATATATTATAAGGTTGCACAATATTAATAATATATGTAACAATATCAATGATATATGTTGCTACATCAATCATATACGTTGCAACATCAATAATAAATAATAATTTAAATAATAAATAATTATTTTTTTCTTTTTACTTAAATAAGATTTGTTTAAATATTATAACAGAAATGTTATAAACAGAAATATTGTAATAAACTAGTTAAATTAAATGTTTTATATTTTTTAAAAATGAACAATTGTTAAAAGTTTTACTTTTTGTTAAAATTCATTTGTAAAAGTTTCAAAACAAGGAATTGTATTTTATGATTTTTGTAAAACATTTTAATGCTCAATGATATGAAATAAAATTTTAGTGCTTGGTTTTTTAAATAATTTTTAGTTAGTGTTTTAAAATTGTCTTAGACAAATTCATCAATTATGTCATCTTTTAAACATCAATACAAACTATTATATAGTTATTTAAATAAATGGTTTGGCTAAATGGGTTCTTATAAAAACTTTGTAAAAAATTTAATTTAAAAAAAATTTTAAATGGATAAAAAGAATTGAAATATTGCAATAAATAATTTATTAACTAACACTTCAACAATTTATTATTAATTTATATATATTTATATATAAATATATAAGTTGATTTCAATAAAAAAGGCAGCTTATAACTATTTTTAAATAAATTTTGATATAATAATATATTAATGATATTTCGCTGACCTATTGTGATAGGCGACATTACAAAATAACATAAAACAAACTGTTTAAAAAAGAAGGCATTAAAAAGCATAAAATATAAAACCAATCAAATAATAAAATAATGGCATCAGTTAAATTTTTCTCAAAATGGGTCCCAGTTTGTTTTAACATTATCCCCGTCATATTGATTTAGAACAGCTTGCCCAATACCTATCTCATATCAAACTCTTGCTTTGTTAGCCTCCAGGGATTCTCTAATTTTCTTATCCTGTATTCTGGAATGACTGCCAAGGTCTTAGTATTCAGCCAATCAAAGTTACCTTAACCTGAACTCTACCATTTTTGATCTTTACAGGCTCTTTGGTGTTCTGCACTTCTTAAAATGATTTTCTTTTTGGTCTCACTTATATATATATATATTTTGGTATGGGCATTTAAGTTGGTAAACTCCTGGATTCGAGTTCGGAGGTAGTTTTATTTTGTTGTTGCATAATGTGTTATTTAAATTGGGGGCTCAAGTAAATATAACTCTGATGTTTTGTTTTCTTGATTCTCTTCGAAGTTTTGGGCTAATAATAGGTATCCAAGGTAGTTTAACAAACTGTTAATCTAATTGATTAGATGTAGTATTTTTTGAAAAGCGGTCTAAATAGTTTTTGGTTATTTTATTAAGATTCCTTTTGCTATAGCTGTCTTCAAAAAATGTATTTATGAGGAAATCCATTTCACGTGAAAGATGTTTTTGAGAGCAGATTTGTTTTGCTCTACATAAAAATCCTTTAAAGACTTTAAAGTGGTTATGCTTGGGTTGATGTTGGAGTTTAGTTTTATTTGAACATTTGTTATGGCATCCTTAGTTATTGCATCCTTACGATGTACTTGAAACTCATAAAATCCATTCATTGTATTTGTAATACAAAAGTTGTTTTCTTTCCTTTTCAAGATCGTTATAAGATAGGTATTGGGCAAGCTGTTCTAAATCAATATAAGGGGTATGTTAAAACAAAAATTCGAGAACCCATTTTGACAAAAATTTAACTGATATCATTATTATATTATTTGATTAATTTTATATTTTATACTTTTTAACGTCTTCTTTTTTAAATGGTTTGTTTTAAGTTATTTTGAAACATTTTTTTATTACCATAATAAGCCAGCAAAATATTGTTATATATATATACAGCAATATATATATATATATATATATATATATATATATATATATATATATATATATATATATATATATATATATATATATATATATATATATATATTTTTTTTCTAATTACTGTCCCATTAGTCTTCTTCCTATCATAAGCAAGGTTTTTGAGTCTTTAATTAACAAACACTTAATCTCTTATCTTGAATCTAAGAATTTACTTTCTGATTATCAATATGGATTTTGATCTCATTCTACTGCTGATTTGTTAATGATAATAACTGATAGGTTTTATCATGCATTAGATAGATGTGGAGAGGCTAAAACCAGCATGCCAAACTTTATCAAAAGCTTTAGAAATGTTGAGAGTCTATTGTTCTCGACATTTCTAAAGCTTTTGATAAAATTTGGTATGCTGGTCTTCTCCATATGCTCTCTTCTTACAGTGTATTAGATAACATCTTCAAGATCATTGAATTCTTCCTCACCAATTGTAGTATAAAAGTTGTTATTGATGGACAGAACTCTTCTTCATATCCTGTAGCCTCAGGGGTTCCTCTAGGTTTTATCATTGGCCTTATACTTTTTTTAATTTACATTAATGATCTCCCAGAAATTCTCACATCTAAGGTGGCATTGTTCTCTGATGATACTATCATTTATTCTTGATAAGAAGCCAACACTCTGATTGCTTGGAGGGTACATTTAAACTTGAAAAGGATCTTACTTCTGCTGCAGCATAGAGCTCTCAGTGGCTAGTGAACTTTAATTCGAATAAAACTAATTTTTTTTTTCAGCTAATCATTATCACAATAATTTGTATCTTTCTATATTTATTAACTATATTTTATAACTTTCTATATTTTATTAATTATATTTTATAACTTTCTATATTTATTAATGTACTCGATGTACATCTTCTAGGATTAACTCTTACTTCCTATCTTTCTTGGTATATTATATCGATTGCAAAATTAGCATCTGCCAAGGTTGCATCTCTTTATCATGCTTGCCACTTTCTTACTCAGGACTCTATTTTTTATCTCTTTTAATCTCAAATCCGTCCAAGTATGGAACACATACAAGAACACATACAAAAACATATGTTGCCATATCTGGGGTGGATCTTCCAATTATGCCCTTTCTTATTTTTTAAACAAGGTGCAAAAAAGCATTATAAACATAATTGGACCTAGCAGTTTTATTAACAGATAGCAATTGCTATCCTAACAATCATATTAAGATAGCAATCATATTAACAGGCAAAAATTCCAAACTTTTTACCACTGCCTTACGTGCCCTATGTATATTTTAGCACAAAGTTTTACGATAATAATGATAAATTGCATATGCTGCAATATCAATCATATATGTTTTTTTTAGGCAACAATTCAATCAAAGCATATTCCATCTGCTACTGATCTCAAAGTTATGAAGGTATTTTTTTATAATTTTTTTTTCAATTTTCTTAAACAAAGCAAAGATTATTCTTTGCAACAAGTTTTTAATTAAACCTCAACAATAAAGTTAAATTATTCATGAGTTTTGGTAAAAACGCATAAATAATTTCATAAACTCATAAATAATTATGAAAGTAAAAATAAAATACTTGAAATTTTTATTTTAAAGTAATAAAACTGCTATATTGCATATTATGATGTTTTTTTAAAAAAATATAGCATATGACATGGTTTATTTTATCATGTTTGAATGTATTTTTTCAATATAGTCAATGTAGAAAAATTAAAAAAAAGTTTTATTAGAAAAAAATTTCAAAATGAAAATATAAAAATAATTTATTTTTAGAAATTCTCTCTTTGCAAATTTTTATTTAAGTAATGCAATTTTTTTATCAAAGCATAATTTACAATGATTGTAATGCGGTAGTGGTGTAGTGGTAGAGCGCTCGCTTCATAAACGAGTGGTTCCGAGTTTGATCTCCACCACGTCCCTGGTAGTACCGCGCTCAACTCGTTTCTCCGCGCAGCGGCCTTGCTCGTCAAGGTTCGTGTTTCGGAGTTATAGAGTTGAGAGAGGGTTATAACCACAAATAAGTAGCCTCCTCGTCTGTAGTGGCCTTCTCGGCCTTGAGGAGGTGAATTAAAATAAAAAAAAAATAAAAAAAAAATTGAAAAGTTAAATTTTCTTTGTAAAAATTCAGGATGATCTTAGTTTTAAAGCTAAAGAGATGAACAAATCCAAAGATACAGCTATTGGTCTAGATGGAGGTAACTTTTTGTGTTATCATACTTTTTATATAACCTAATATTTTCTTAGATTCAAGGACTTGTACAATCAAATTTGGTCATATATTCTTCCTTTTAATCTCCTCACAGATATTAGACAATTATTTTTTCAAATTGACATAAATCTAACTTAATTTTCTTGTCTGTTAGTACTGCCATGTAATGATAAAAATGCTTTTCATATGTGTCATAGACCAATAGAGAACAACCCACAAGAAAGAAACCCTGAAAATGTTTTTAAAAATCTAATGCAGTAGGTAGCTAGGTTGAAAAGAAAAAAAAATTCTAAAGATGGGCATGTAAGTAATGTTTTATACTTTATAGTTTCTTAAGAAACTATATTTAGAAAAATTTTAAAAAACTATGACCAATAAAAAAATAAAAAAAAGTGAAGTATGCAGAAAATTCATATTTTTAAACTCATAGAAAAATGAAATAACCTAATATGATCTTTCTGAAATGCACAAAAAATAATTTGCAATCATTTTTAAAGTATACTTGTAACAATAACAGTGTCAAATTTTAATGAAAATATTTTCATATCGTTTTCAATATTGTCATTTAATCATAGTTTTGAATCCTTGCACAAAATTATTGTTATTTTATTGTGAAGAGTATTGTCATATGTCTTTTTATAAATAGATCTATGATTATTAATGATTTTAATTTTTTATCAAATTATTTTTATAATTTTTAGAGCATGCAAAGTTGCGTCAAGACTTGGAAAAAGTACAACTTGTGAGTTATTGAGCAATAAAATATATTAAAACTTTATTTTTTAACTTTTTAGAGTTTGATTTGAAGGAGCAGGATATTTTTTTAAAATTTAATTCCTAAATCTATAAGTCACTAAATTTGATAAAAGATATCATTATACTTTCATGGTTACATACCTATAATACCAAATCATCTGAAATATAAATAATTTGAAGCATTTAATAGAAGATATAAAATAATATAGTCTGCCATTATTTTAATTTTGTTGGTTTACCAACTGTAGTAAAATTATTATATTAGCTCTGGTTAGATAAGAGCTACAGGTTCAAAACAACTGTTAAAAACTATTACATTTTTTTAAATCAGGTGATTTGTGTGTGTAATTTCTTCTGTTTTTAAAAGTTGTAAAAATTTAAGTTTTTAAAAGTTACTTCTAAAATATTATTGGATTGATGTGCAATTTCAATTTCCAAAGTTTCTTTGTAGCTTACAATGTGTGAACATTTTAAGAATTAAAATTTCCAAAGTTTCTTAACAGGCAAAAATTCCAAACTTTTTACCACTGCCTTACGTACTGAACTTACATAGGAACCTATGTAAGTTCAGCACAAAGTTTTACGATAATAATGATAGATTGCATATGCTGCAATATCAATCATATATGTTTTTTTTGCATATTATGTTTTTTATTAAAAAATATAGCATATGACATGGTTTATTTTATCATGTTTGAGATGTATTTTTTCAATATAGTTGATGTAGAACATTGTTATATTACGATATATATTACGATGTGTGAACATTTTAAGAATTTTATAATTTTTGTCAAAATAATTTTTTGTTTATGCGACACAATGATCACAAAAAGTGACCAATAGAGCCGTCCAGTTTCGTGGACCTGGGAGATGTGATAATAAAAACAGTTAGTAGATGGTGTCGTTGAATAAAAAATAAAAATCATAAGAAAATATAAAATGAGTGGTAAGGCTTTTGTGAAGGTGAAGAACCAAGTTAAATGCTCGGGGGGCAGGGGGAAAAACAACTAACATTCTAGTCACCCTGTGTGTAGATCATATGTAAAAAAGAACAAATATTTGATATACTGATTTTAGAGACTGTTGATGTCTACAGGTGTGATAGTGTAATGCATTAGTACATACCATTTGGTCGTCTAGTATGGTTTTGTTATGTTTTCGTTCACTTTCAAATCGAGTGAATAGAAAGCTAAACACAATCACTTCTTGCGCTTATACATCAGAGCCAGACATAAGACCTACAGAATGGATTTCAATTGATCGAATTCACACATTAGTCACTGTAGGCCACAAGCCATCACTCTTAGCCAAAAGAGCTACTGCCTCATACTGGTGTGGAATGATGTGCTATGAAGTGAGATTTCAGATCCGAGCACATAGTCAGCGAGCTTTGATCCGACCTGCATTGTGGAGCTTCCAACTAATTTGTGCGTGAGCGTCAGCGTAGTCATTAGGTTGTTGAGTGCCGTAACCACATCCAGTGGGATAGCTTAATGTCTGTTTTGTCCTTGTGGTGTACATTGGAAAAAGTTGGGGCTTACCAGCCACAAAAAATAAAATTTTTTCTTATGCGACACAAAGATCGCAAAAAGTGACCAATGGAGCCGTCCAGTTACGTAGACCTATGTAGGAGATGTGAAAATAAAAACAAATTGTAGATGATGTCATTTAGGTTAAAAAAAAAAAAAAACACAAAGTGAATAAAAAATAGTAATTAATAATTAAGAGTAACATTTATGGCTAAAATATGTTTTATAAATATAATAAGTAAGTACCACTCATAAACATTGATACTAAGTTAAGATGTTATGTGGTTAGTATGAAAGTAGTTAAACAAAAATATGATAAAAAATGTGGTAACTCCAATAGTATGTTCTCATATAAATCTTGCTTGATAAGTAGAGACAATAGCTATCACACAAATCAGATTCAGAGTAATTAAACAATGATAAGCCAGAGATAAAAAATATATACAAACATTAAATCAGTAGACAGAGAATAATGAGAAAATTAAGAGATGAGACAATAAATGGGATTTTTTACTAATAGCTTTTAACTACTAAAAAATGTAACGTTAAAAAACAATATTGTTGACAAAATGACCAGAGGAACATTAGTGAAGACTGTATATTACCACAACTAACTAACTTAGCAAGATTAAATGAGAATGTGATAAATCTAAGCTTATCTAGTAGAATTGTTCAGTTCCAACCAAGAATACATTTGTTATAAAAATACTCTAATATGTACTTTTGTGTAAAGTTGTATGCTTCTCACAAATATACGACCTCATTCACACATAATAACACAAATCTGAATAAATATACAAGGATAAGGTAAAAAAAAATTATTTTTGTATGTGCTATGAAGTGAGGTGTCAGATCCGAGCACATGTCAGCGAGTGCTGATCCGCATGCATTGTGTAGCTTTGACTGAATGTGTGCGTGAGTGTCAGCGTAGTCATTAGGTTTTTGAGCGCCGTAACCACATCCAGTGGGATATCCTAATGTTTGTTTTGTTGTTGTGGTGTACATTGGAAAAAGTCGGACTCACCAGCCGCAAAGAATAAAAATTTTTACTTATGCGACACAATGATCACATTTTAAATTATATAAAATGTTGTTTTATTGCTCAATAAAACAACATGTTAAGAATTACATAAAATTCTTAAAATTCTGTTTTATTGAGCAATAAAACAACATTTGAAGAATTTTATCATTTTTGTCAAAATAATTTATTTTAGAGACATTTTTGACTAGTGATTTCTCAGTTAAATTTTTTGAGTAAAAGTTCTCTTTTCTACAAATACTATAATGGGCACTGATCTAAAGAGCAGTCTTATATGCCTCTTATAATTTTTAAAATTTAGTTATAATTTTTTCTTGTGTTATTCGCTATCCAATTAAGTCTTATCATTTTACTGTGACTGTTCCTAAGTGCTCCAAAAACTCGTATTTATCTAGTTTTTTCCTCGAACATCAGTTCTTTTGAATTCACACCCTTTATCTCGCTCTCTGATTCATATAATTTGTAATCTTTAAGTCGTCTGTCAATCATTATCTTGCTCTATAAACTTCATCTTTTCTCTTCCAGTAACTTCCAACTCTAATAGTGTTTGATTGCAGCCTTGTTGGAAGCGAAGATTTAAAAAAAAAAAATAGTATTAATAGCAAAAAGTATGATATGATATTAAATTTTCCCCAGTCTGTGCATACTTTTCTTAAAAGTTTGTACAAAAGTTAAAGAATCTGTTGTTAGCAGAAACCAAATTGAAAAGGATCAAAATTTTATTTAAGTTTCTTTTGAGTAAAGACCCTTACTTAAATGAATCTCTAATAAATAGATGTCTTGTTCCTCTTATAGTTTTTAATTTAAAAAACCTTATAACAGGATTTATGTCCTACACATAAAACATTTTAAACAGAAAATGATTTAAAGTAATAGCCTTTTTTAATAACTCAATATAAAGACATTGTGCTAAGTCACAATGTCACGGCTTAGGGTTAATTAACAGGACTGAGACAACTGCATAGCTCATTGATTAGGAGGCTGTGCTCTATCTATGAATGAGTCAAGTTCTCATTAAACCCAAATCATGACCAAAGTAACCTAAAAAACCATCCCCACCACCTAAATATTTTAATATATCTTTTACAAATATTCGCGGTCTACGAAGCAACTTTCCATCAGTTGAGTCTTACCTCCTGCAAAATTTACCAGACTTGCTTGCACTCAGTGAAACAAATTTAAATTCTGCAATTCCTTCTTCAGATGTCAGTGTTGATGGGTACTATCCTTTAATTTGTAATTTCCCCTATTTGTCGTGAAATCAGGTTCGAATCCTTTGACCATTCTTTATGTGCTTTCGTCTAGCACCTCTTCACTCTATCACCTTTCTCTTTGTTCTTTATCGTTCTCCTTCTTCCCATGATTGCACTATCTTAGATGTTATCTCTGATCAAGTTTACCATGCCCTCTCTCTTTACCCCTCTGCCAATATTGTTGTTGTTGGTGATTTTAATGCCCATCATTAAAATCATAAAGCCTTCTGGCACTAACTGGCACTAACTTCTGCGTTTCTCAATCTCTTACTCAGATAGTTAACTTTGTGACTCGTTTTCCTGACAACCCTAATCATTTACTTTCACTCCTTGACTTATGTCTTGTCTCTGACCCTAGCTTATGTTCAGTTTCTCCCTTTTCTCCCTTAGGTGGTTCTGACCATGCAATGATCTCTATAAATCTTTCTTCTCGTACTTCTTTTTTGGGCTCACCTTCTCATTACACCACCTACTACTACCCTAAAGCTGACTGGGATTCCTTTCGTGATTTTCTTCGTGATGGTCCTTGGGCTGATGTTTTTTCTCTCTCAGCTGACAAATGCGCCTCCTACGTAACCTCCTGGATTCAGGGTGGAATAGAAGCTTTTATTCCTTCGCGTTGGTTTCAAGTCAAGCCTCATTCTACTCCATGGTTTTCTCCTTCTTGTGCAGCTGCTATATCCAATTGTAATCATTTTTTTCATCTTTTTCAAAAGAACAACTCTCTTGAGAACAAGCGGCTATTTATTATTGCAAGAAATCGATGTAAAAAGGTGCTTTCTGATGCTAAACTCCATTATTCTCAGTTCACTAAATCTCGCATCTTATCGCAGAAGTTAGGCTCTAAAGACTTTTGGAAAATCTTCAACAGCATTATTAACAAGGGTAGATCTAACATTCCATCTCTCATTTATGGGACTGATCTTATTACCTCTTCCAAGGATAAGGCAGAACTATTTGCAAAGAACTTTTCTTCTAATTCCACTCTTGAATCTTATGGACATTCTCTTCCTTCCATTCCAGTCAAACAGGTTGACCCATTGTTAGACATTCAAATCACTCCGGCTTCTGTTGCTAAAGTCATATCTCAATTAAACTCGTCTACAGCTTGTGGTCCAGACAACATTCCTGTCACAGTCTTGCAGAATTGTTCTCCATAACTTTC